CGTATGTATATTTCGAGGAGTTTAGAACCCAGGTAATGGTAGCGTATGCAGGGCAGAGGCGTACGTGCCGACTGTGTGGCGAATATGACCATATGGCGGCAGACTGTGGCAAGCGGAATATGGTTCCTGGGCCGGCAAGGGGCGGAGCACCTGCGCATGAGAAACCGATGCCTAAGGAAGAACGGGGGCAAGGAGGAGGGCGTGGTCACTTGTGGAGTGAAGAGGTGGTGGCTCCTGTGGAATCGGAAGGAGAAGTGGTGATCCATAAATAACCTGGCCCATCAACAGTTAAGTTGTCAAGTGAGGAGGTGCAGGTGGGCACAGCAGTGCAAGCTATTGAGGAGGAGTTGGAGACGATGATACAGGCTATGTTACAGTCTACAGAGGTGGAGAGTCACAGCGAGCAGGAACCTGAGATCAGGGCAGAAGGTGTGTGCGGGGGGGTGGGGGATCAGGTGACACCTGTGATGGACAGTGCGAGTACCATAGAAGGACATGGAGGCGGATTAAGGGTGGTAGAGGTAGAAGTTCATTGTGCTGGCTCCCAGGACTCAGATATGGAAATTGAGGGAGCTACAAGGAAAAGGGCAGCAGCGTTAGATTCGGACAATGTTCTGATTCCGGCGCAAAGGCCAGGGAAAAAGACATGGGGTTATGGTTCCCAGAGCGATTCTACGAGAGGGCCACAACAGAATGGGGGGGGGAGGGTTTGGGGAAGGGGGTGGAGTATTGGCAAAGGAAAAGCCCGGGGGAATGGCCTGAAAGGGAAGAGTCTGACATGAGTGGGGGGGGAAACCCTTTAAACCCCCTCGGGTGTGTAAAAATAAATATTAAGGGTCTTGTAATGGTTTTAAAACGTGAGTGCTTCAGGATGTTTTTTGAATAGGTCGGGGTTGTGCGGGAGCACAATTTTAAGCTTGGTCGTGAAATTAGGGGTGCTTGGGTATCAGGCTTAGTGTTCCGTCTAGCTTTTAAAAAGGGGAGGGGTTTTGATCAGGGAGGCGAGCCCGTTTGTATTGCACGGAAAGAGGGGGGGGGGGAGAGTATTACGTGGGAAGGGTGGGATGGGGGAGAGAGTGGGTTTGTGGTGTTATGCCCCCGCAGAAATGACGTGAAAGTAAGGTGGATTTTGTCTGGGGGAGCTTGTTCTACCTACCACGTTACCGGGGTGGCGATTGTGGGGGGTTGGAAGTGGGGTTAAAAGGGCAGACGTGGAACCCAGAGGAGCGGGATATTTTTCCTCAGTCTTGGGGGGCCTGCTTAGAGATCTTCAGTTACGTGATGCTTTCGGGGAGGTTTGTGGGAGGTGGAACATACGTTTATAAGACTGGGATATGCGGCTCGTTTGGACAGGTTATATTTATCACAGAGGGTTTCGGTAGAGTCTTTTAAAACTATTGAGATGGTGTCTTCCAATCATAGGGCGATATTAGTGGAGGTGGGGTGGGATGCTTTGGCTCGTAGGCAGGGAAGTTACTGGAAACTGAACACGATGGTCTTGGGGGATAGGGAGGGAGTGGAAGGTTTTGCAGTATTTTGGGAACAGCTCTGTGCAGACAGAAGGACTGAGGAGGATGTGGTAGGATGGTGGGAGTGTGGCTAAGGTAAGAATACGTCAATTTTATGTGAGGGAGGGCAAATGCATTAATCAGTTGCAGTATGGTTTGTCAAATTATTTAGAATCTAGATTACGGGAATCTTACAAGGGGTATACCCAGTGGAGGATATACACATGTTGAAGGAAAGGATAAGGGATTTGCAAGAAGAATGGTTTGTGGTGGTACGGGTACAGGCGGGGTTGGACGAAGTACTCTGGGGCGACAAGCCATCGGCTTGTGTGCTGCGAGGACAGAAGGTACGACAGCGAACGACTACAATACCGGGATTGCAAGTCATTTCTTTGGTGGGGGGTTTTAGAGAGGGTCAGGTATTAAGGGAAACCATGGGGATGAGTGCATATGCAGATAGATGGTTTGAGGAATATGGGAAAAATAGTGGGGTGGATGGAGAGGTTCTTGGGCAGGTATGTGAGTATGTGCCATGCAAACTGGGGAGGAGTGATCGGGAGGCACTGGGTGGGGTCATTGAGGAGGAGGAAATATGGAGAGCCCTTATGGACATGAGGAAGGGAAAGGCACCCGGGATCGATGGTTTACCAAGCGAATTTTATGTACAGCACTGGGGTCTGCTTAGGGGTTTCCTAGTAGGGTTAATGAATGCCATGAAAGAAGGAGGTAAGATGGGAGAATCGCAGGCAACGGCGGTGGTGGTGTTGGTCCTGAAGGGTAAACAGCAGAGTACCCTTTGGGATTACCGAGCCATTTCGTTACTTTGTGCTGATTATAAATTGTTCGCGAAAATTCTTGGGAATCGGCTTAAATGTGTTGTGGGGAGGGTCGTGTTTGAGTCTCAGTTTGGGTTACCTGGTAGGTCGATGGGCGAGGGCCACGGGATCATAAAGGGATTCCTGGAGGACATGGAAAGGGGAAGAGGGGCATTGGTGGCGTTGGATTGGCAAGGGGCTTATGACAGGGTAGAAAGAAAGGCTTTGAGGGATATTCTCCTACGACAAGGATTTGGCGAAGAAATAGTGGGTACGTTGTACTCAAACGCGAAGGTACGGGTGTGTGGGGGAGGGAGTCAGCATGGAGCGGGGTCTTCAGCAGGGATGTCCATTATCCCAACTATTGTTTGCATGTGTTCAGGATCCCTTTTATAGGATGGTGGAGGATCGTCTAAGGACAGGGGGGGGGGATGGTGAGCAGAAGCCTTGGCCTGGTTTGGTGGGCTATGTTGATGATACAACTATTTTGGTGATTGAGGAGACACGGTTAGGACTTTTGGGGGAAGTTGTACGCAATTTTGGGAGAGCTACTGGGATGAAGGTAAATCTGGAGAAGTCAATGATAATGGGGCTGGGAGAGTGGGCAGGGAGATTAGAATGGGGATGCGATGTTGTGCAGCGGCAGACCGGGAGTCTGAAAATCTGTGGTGTTATGTATGAGGCTGACCTGAGTGCTGTCAGGGTTAACAATTCGAATAGGATGGTGGAACAGGTGCAGTGACGTTTGGGAATGCTGCGACCTCACCATTTAACCCTTAGGCAACGTGCAATTGTCATCAATGTATTACTATATAGTAAAGTCTGGTTTGTTTCGGCTGTGATGCCGTTAACAGGAACGGCGATCACGAGTATTCTTAGAATGGTGTTCAAATTTTTGTGGGGTTCAGGGTGCAACTGGTTGCGAAGGGAGGTAGTGAAATTGCCGGTATGTAGGGGAGGGTTGGGTTTGTTGGACTTGAGAAAGCGTGTGAAATGTGTGTTTATTAAGAGGGAAGTGATGAGTGCAGGTGGATGGAGGGGATGTCAGCTCACCTGAGGAAATGGTATGGAGGAGCGGAAATGAAGGAATGTGAAACATTCATTAGAGATTTGCCGGTACTTCCGGCCCGGGTCTTCTCCAGATGACTGTGAAACAGTGTTACGTGCCATAGTGTTAGCTAGGGAACCGGGAAAAGTAAAGGTGGGAACTTTGTGTAAATTGTTAGAGGGACATGTAGTAGCGCCGGTTGAAGGGATCTACCCCATGTATGCATGGGATGTAATATGGCGAAGATTTAGTAAATTAAGGATACGATCTAGGACGCGTGAGGTTATGTATCGTTTCCTGCATGGGATTTTGCCAACGGGAGCGATGCTCCGAGATAGGAGGGTTATCGAGGGTGGGGGGTGTGGCAGATGCAGTGGGGAAGAGAATGCGTATCGTGTTGTCTATTTTTGTGAAGGTTTGGAGTGCTTCAGGGTATGGATGAGTAAAGTAGTGGTGAGGGTGGGGGTCAAGGTGTGTCGGTATTGCGAGCATTGAGTCTTGATATGAGTGGTGTGGATGAGGGTGTGGTAAGGGGTTTAGCATGTGTAATCGTGGACTACATATATGTTTTGTGGGGTATGAGGGGGAAGGAGGGTGGGGATGTGCTGAGAAGGACTTTGGCGGCGACGTTTTATCGAACTTTGTGTCGCAATAGAGACTTTTTGGAAAAAGGTGGGATGAGGTTTTTTCTGAGGGTTATAGGGGACTAACAATAGGGAATTTATTGGCGTTATAAGGGGCTTTAACTGCCGGGGTGAGTAGGTTGGTAAAAGGGGGAGGGGGGTTCAGGGGTATTCAACGGGCTCACCTCCTTGGGTGTGCAGTGATGGGTGATTGGGTGTGATTGGAGGTACTCTTGTGGGACTAGATGAGAGGTTGTGAAAGATTAGTTTTGCTTAGTTCCCTTGATAGGAAAGGTGTAAATCACCGGCTTGCACGGGGTGCTCTTCACCGAGTGTCCCGAGTGGCCGGCACAATTACTTTGAAAAAATTAGAGTGCTCAGAGCAGGCTAAGCGAAGGGCCTGAATGGTGTTGTGCCTGGAATAATGGAATTTAAAAAAAAAATACACCTAAATAACGTAAGTATTGTCTGGTGACGTATTTGTCAGTATAACAGCAGAGTTGAACTGTAGCTCCTGTTCCACATCACCAGTTTGGTCACCAAATTATTAATATTTTAATAGTCATAATTTTCTTTGGGGTCTAATGTCTTAGAGGGGAGCGGGGATAATTGACCTTAGTGGAGTGGTTTTGATGCGAGGAACTAGAGTTACTCCCCTTTCTCTGATCAAACAATAACTCTCACACTAGGCGTTACATAACCCATAATGGTGTATCCAGTTCTGGGCTATTTTTTTCCATTATTGGAAAATAACTTAGTGAAGGTCTCTAGATCCAAGGAACTTGGGCCTTATGATCCAGATATAGACTTCCATGTAAACAAATTGCTAGTCATCAGGTTTATGTGAAAGAAATATTCATTAAAGAAAAAGATAGCTTTACTTATTATGTTAAACATTAATGTTTATATCAGTCAGGCAGTAATGTTACTAGTTTATATTACGTGGTAATGTTCACCTATGTGTATAATGTTCATGGTTATAATGGGAATGTTTTGTTTCAGGTGTGGTAACTGAGGGGTGCTGTGCCTGGCTGTGTCTGCTGCAACATTGATCAACACAGCAACATTGACCAGTCTGAGGGGTGGAGACAACCACACTAGTAAATAGTCTGACCCATAACATTTAGTGTTATATGGAGATGCAGCAGTTGGAGACGTCGTTAGAGGTGGGCAGGGCCCCACTTGTAAGGTATTTTCAGGTTATAAGTCCACTAAAGTTTGGTTATTTGCAGCAGATAGTAATTGTATTAGGTGGGAAGGTGGTGGGGAGAGTATAGGAGAGATTGAAAGCAATTGATATCATAAGTAGCTTCGTGGGAAATATTAGCTTATCTTCAGACCAGAGATGAAATCTCTGGCTAGGAAATAATGATGAATGTATTCTATAGGTTACCTTGATTAGGGTGGAAATAAAAACTGGAGAAATGGGTTGTAAAACTTAGAATTGAAGACTGATTAGATTTTAGGAAGTTTTAGTTAGTGTAATATATTTTTACTATGCAGCCTATACCCAGCCTGCAAGAATGTAGGAAGCAGAGATGAAATGTGTAAGTGATATATTATGGCTCAGTTGGTAGCGGCGTCAACTGAAGAACCGAGATTCGATCCCTGGCACAATTGGGCATTTATTTATTTATTTATTTATTTATTTATTTATTTATTTACAATTTGAGCACACATACAGAGGTACAAAAAAATACAGATAAGAGCAGCATGCCAAAGCCACTTATACTATGCATAGCATTACGGGCTGGCTTAAAATTAACTTAAGATTAACTAAGCAATGATGAAATCAGTGATAAAACATTAATGTAAACAGATTACTATAAAGCACAAGTGAGTATTACAAAGACAGGTCATGTGGTTGCATGCATTGTTGTACATTCAGTCGTATGGAGTATTCTGTTAGGTAGTGTATTTAAAAAATAATAAAGTTAGATTGGGTTTTAGATTTAACATTTATGTGATATAATTGTGAGAAACATTTAAGATATACAATTTATAAGGTTCAGTTATTCAATATTTATTTGGTTTTGGGTGAGTAAGTGATCTTTGAGAAGAGACTTGAATTTATAAACAGGTAGTGTTTCTTTTATATTTACAGGTAATGAATTTCCAGATTTTAGGGCCTTTTATGTGCATTGAGTTTTTGCATAGTGTGAGATGGACACGAGGAACATCAAAGAGTGATCTGTGTTATTGTGTTATGGTCATGTGTTCTGTTGAGGTTGGCAAGGAGATGTTTGAGGGGAGGGTTAATATCAGAGTTAAGTGTTCTATGTATGTAATAGGTGCAGTAATAAGTATGGATGTTTTGTATGGTGAGTAGGTTTAGTGTATTGAATATTGGTGGAGTGTGCTGCCTGTAGTGAGAATTTGTTATCATTCTAACTGCAGCCTTTTGTTGGGTAATTAGTGGTCTGAGATGGTTAATTGTTGTTGAGCCCCATGCACAAATTCCATAGGTGAGATAGGGGTAAATAAGAGAGTGATATAGGGCCAGGAGGGCTGATTGTTGAGCATAGTACCGTATCGGGTGGCCCGGTGGCCTGGTGGCTAAAGCTCCCGCTTCATACACGGAGGGCCCGGGTTCGATTCCCGGCGGGTGGAAACATTTCGACACGTTTCCTTACACCTGTTGTCCTGTTCACCTAGCAGCAAATAGGTACCTGGGTGTTAGTCGACTGGTGTGGGTCGCATCCTGGGGGACAAGATTAAGGACCCCAATGGAAATAAGTTAGACAGTCCTCGATGACGCACTGACTTTCTTGGGTTATCCTGGGTGGCTAACCCTCCGGGGTTAAAAATCCGAACGAAATCTTATCTTATCTTATCTCTTATCTTCCTTATATTCATTGGCACTGTTCACTTTAAAGAGGAACACTGCAGCAGGCCTACTGGTAGGAGTCGCATCTTGGGGGAGCATAAATACCCTAATAAAAATGTCGTAATATCTTCCTGACATCTACCAGGTTAATAGTGAGAGTAATGGTAGAGGTGTTGATGCCGGGTGTAAGGAAAGCCTATTAAATAAGGCATATCCATTATTAAGACATAAGCACTGAAGCAGGCCTATTTGCCCCATGTTAGATAGGTCCAACTCAACCACTCATTTGTCCAACCTATTTTTAAAACTACACAGCCAAAGTTTTAGCTTCACATGACCATATAAGTTTTCATTAGGCAGAATATATTATAGCAGGAAAAATCAATAATTCCTCAAATGTGGAATTAACCACATCTTCCTATTTTCAGTAGGGTTGTAGAGGGTCTGGCCAAGTAATTTTATGCTTTGAAGTCCCAAAAATATTTTCATTAGTATAGTCCTGTGGGTTTAGCGCTTACGACTCCAGAGTCTATTAGAGCGTCTGGGGAAAGAGCATTATTTTTAAACTGGGTTATAAAGTATATAAATAGACTTTGTAGACTGATCTTACCTAGACCCCCTTGATCTTACCTAGACCCCCTTGATCTTACCTAGACCCCCTTGATCTTACCTAGACCCCCTTGATCTTACCTAGACCCCCTTGATCTTACCTAGAACCCTTGATCTTACCTAGAACCCCTTGGTCGCACCTAGAACCCCTTGATTGCACCTAGAACCCCTTGATCGCACCTAGAACCCCGTGATCGCATCTAGAACCCCTTGATCGCATCTAGAACCCCTTGATCGCATCTAGAACTACTTGATCGCATCTAGAACCCCTTGATCTTACCTTTACCTCCCTTAATCCCCCCTTGCGCCGCCACTGCTCTGCAAATTAGTAAGGCCTATACCTGGAGTATGCTGCATAGCTGTGGTGCATATATATATATATATATAATATATATATATATATATATTATAATTATATAATATATATATATATTATATATATTATATATTAAAATATTATACACACACACACACACACACACACACACACACAACACACACACACACGGCTGAGAGGCAAGCAGGAGTTCCGGAGGGGTGTACCTCGATCGAGACAGAACACAGAACGAAAGGAAGACAGTGAAAGAGAGAGTTCAAAAACGAAAGGAGAAATGGGAGGAAATGAAAAAGGAGAGCAGAATAACCCAGGATAAAATGGAAGGACAAGCGCACCCCCCAAAACACCTGCAGAAGGACTCCAGCCACGACACCCCCAAGGCAACTGAACAATCCAAACCAACCATCACACACCGATCCCTCTGTTTCCACCCCCCGCACCACAGTTACAGTATTAGAACAGAAGTTGAAGGTTTGGTACACAAATGCAGATGGATTAACGAATAAACATGAGGAATGGCAAGAAAGAATCGATGAGAAGTCCCCAGACATCATAGCAGTTACAGAAACAAAACTCACGGAGACAATAACAGATGCAATCTTCCCACCAGGATACCAGATCATGAGGAAAGATAGAAGGGGCAGGGGGGAGGTGGGGTTGCTCTGCTCATAAAAAAACAGATGGAAATTCGAGATAATGGAAGGCATAGATGAGACTGGAGAAAGAGACTACATAGCAGGTACACTTCAGTCTGGGGAACACAAAGTGGTCATTGCAGTGATGTATAATCCACCACAGAACTGCAGGAGGCCAAGAGAGGAATATGAAGAGAGCAACAGAGCAATGGTGGATACACTTGCTGAGGTTTTACCTGGAGTTTACCTGGAGAGAGTTCCGGGGGTCAACGCCCCCACGGCCCAGTCTGTGACCAGGCCTCCTGGTGGATCAGAGCCTGATCAACCAGGCTGTTGCTGCTGGCTGCACGCAAACCAACGTACGATCCACAGCCCGGCTGGTCAGGAACCGACTTTAGGTGCATGTCCAGTGCCAGCTTGAAGACTGCCAGGGGTCTGTTGGTAATCCCCCTTATGTATGCTGGGAGGCAGTTGAACAGTCTCGGGCCCCTGACACTTATTGTATGGTCTCTTAACGTGCTAGTGACACCCCTGCTTTTCATTGGGGGAATGTTGCATCGTCTGCCAAGTCTTTTGCTTTCGTAGTGAGTGATTTTCGTGTGCAAGTTCGGTACTAGTCCCTCTAGGATTTTCCAGGTGTATATAATCATGTATCTCTCCCGCCTGCATTCCAGGGAATACAGGTTTAGGAACCTCAAGCGCTCCCAGTAATTGAGGTGTTTTATCTCCGTTATGCGTGCCGTGAAGGTTCTCTGTACATTTTCTAGGTCAGCAATTTCACCTGCCTTGAAAGGTGACCTGAAGAGTGTCATCATGGGCTTGGCCTCCCTAGTTTTGAAGGTTCTCATTATCCATCCTGTCATTTTTCTAGCAGATGCGATTGATACAATGTTATGGTCCTTGAAGGTGAGATCCTCCGACATGATCACTCCCAGGTCTTTGGCGTTGGTGTTTCACTCTATTTTGTGGCCAGAATTTGTTTTGTACTCTGATGAAGATTTAATTTCCTCGTGTTTACTATATCTGAGTAATTGAAATTTCTCATCGTTGAACTTCATATTGTTTTCTGCAGCCCACTGAAAGATTTGGTTGATGTCCGCCTGGAGCCTTGCAGTGTCTGCAATGGAAGACACTGTCATGCAGATTCGGGTGTCATCTGCAAAGGAAGACACGGTGCTGTGGCTGACATCCTTGTCTATGTCGGATATGAGGATGAGGAACAAGATGGGAGTGATTACTGTGCCTTGTGGAACAGAGCTTTTCACCGTAGCTGCCTCGGACTTTACTCTGTTGAGGACTACTCTCTGTGTTCTGTTAGTGAGGAAATTATAGATCCATCGACCGACTTTTCCTGTTATTCCTTTAGCACGCATTTTGTGCGCTATTACGCCATGGTCACACTTGTCGAAGGCTTTTGCAAAGTCTGTATATATTACATCTGCATTCTTTTTGTCTTCTAGTGCATTTAGGACCTTGTCGTAGTGACCCAATAGTTGAGACAGACAGGAGCGACCTGTTCTAAACCCATGTTGCCCTGGGTTGTGTAACTGATGGGTTTCTAGATGGGTGGTGATCTTGCTTCTTAGGACCCTTTCAAAGATTTTATGATATGGGATGTTAGTGCTATTGGTCTGTAGTTCTTTGCTGTTGCTTTACTGCCCCCTTTGTGGAGTGGGGCTATGTCTGTTGATTTTAGTAACTGTGGGACGACCCCCATGTCCATGCTCCCTCTCCATAGGATGGAAAAGGCTCGTGATAGGGGCTTCTTGCAGTTCTTGATG